CACTTCTAAAATTTAACATGATAATCGATCCAATGACCGAAAACCAATAGAAACAAAGTGAACAGTATAGGATTGGTCGGTCAAAGTTAGCAACAGTCTGCGGTCGATAATACCGACCGCAACCTATTGGAAAAGTAAACCTTTTTTAGTCTAAATTCTAACAATTTCGGTCAGTAAATATATATTCTTTTTAAAATACAGTTATATTTTTCGACCAATATTATCGTTCGAAAAGATAAAACAATTTTTTCATGTAAAATAATATAACTAACCAAAGTTGATCGGTAATTATATAAAAAATAAAATTATAATTTCGACCGATGTCGGTCGGTATATTAATACATTTTCGGTAAAAATAAAGATACCAACCGATATTGGTCAATAAATTATAATCTCTGAATTTTTTTACTGTTTACGGATTGCCTTCGATTGGAGATTAACAATTTTTAGGAATTTTTTTGGCACTTACCGATTGGTTTAGGTCGCTAAATTACAATTTATATTTTTTTTAAAAGTATATGAAAAAATCTGGCAGGTAATACTTGTTTTAAAGCTGCACCATCTGCCAAAAGCCTAAATTCAGTGTCAAAATGCTGCCAATCAACCAAAATAAACATATAAAACAATCTCCAACACGATTACAGCATGCACAACTTAATCCGCCAACCAAAACATAACACCCACTACAATAATCAGACTATATTCAATTTTCAACCAAAACTCCCATTACTACAATATTAATATTCACAAATAAACTATAATATTCAACAAGAACTCACCAAAACATTAGAACTAAAACAAGTCAATAAAATGTTAGCAATACAAACCCCACTATTCAAAGAGTGTTTTGTAATTCATCTCCTCCACTATCTGAAGAACCCTCATCTTCCGCAAGGGCAAAAAGATAACGTGGAGGAGGAGCATCCGGGGATGACTCGCGAGACTGGAAAAATAAAAGAAGGATAGCTGCTAATTGAGCTTGAAGACAATAAAATCGTTTATCGTTACGCCTCTCTCTGGGCTTTGCCGCTTCAAGCTCGGCTGCTAGCTGTACGACCTTCTTCTCCACAGATGAAAGGGCCTCCTATCAAGTGACTCGACCAGTACGAAAGTCCCAATACCTTGCAATCCATACGTGTAGAGGCGAAATGAATTCTTTGGAAGGTGGAGCTTCTGTAACTGATAACGCCAAACTATGCCTTATACACAGACACACACGGACGTAGCAAATATAATCTGAGTAATTTTTGCCTAGAATCAAACCACAGAAAATTAACCTATCAATTACTTTTGTCGGATTTACTAAATTCACAGAATCAATTCCCCCAAACTTTGTAATTCACGATTGATGATATTTCTAACAACTAAAAACTGAAAATAATTAACAACTGAAAATTAACTATGCTTGATGTGTAAACAGTTGGAATAAGGTATAAGGTAATGGTTTCCCCCGTTGGTGATTTCCTTGGTTGTATGTTCTTATAGCGATGCCTTAGTTGACTCTATCAATCAAGAACTCTCCAGTTATCATAAATCTCTCTCGAGTAATTATGATCATTTACTAAACGCACTCTCTCAAGCTACGCTAGCTAGATTCACATTATCATTCTTTTATATTGCACCCGAGGTATCGTTATCTCTAATCCAACCTCTAAACCCTCGGTTATGACTCTCGTCTATACTCCGGGAGTGATGTTGTTCAAACAACTACCTAAATATGCACTCTCTCTCAAGAAGATACATAATAAATAGGAACGGATAATTGAGGGCCCTTTCAACTAACCACAATCAAAACGTAGATGAACAAATAAAGATTAACAACCAATTCAAACTATATTACTATCACAACCAAGTCATCCCCAACGGGTTTCACCAAAACCTTAGATTAAAGTATTTAGCTACTCATGACAACGTAAGAATAAACTACGAAAATATTCATAATGGAAAATTGCAAGAAAGATAGAAGAGAATAAGAACTATGATGTTTTTGGGTGATATCTCACACTTCTCTTGCAAAGGTACTCTCAAAAAAATAATAAGCCCCCTTTCTTGGGCGAGTTTCCTACATCTTATAAGGGTTTTACAAAATCTTTCCCGAATTGACACTTTGGCCCCTTAAATTTCTGGACTGTGAATATGCTGCCGCGGCCGCGGCGTCAACCGCGGCGCTGACCGCGGAGGACACTGACTCCAACCGCGGCGCGGACCGCAGTGGCAACCGCGGTAAGTATGCTGGGCCTTTTTGTCTCCGCGTTACTTCTCTTTTTGCTCTTTTTGTGTCTGGGTACTTCTTGAGTGGGTGTTTTCTTCACGTTATTGCCTCTAAATACTTCATGTTGCTTCCTCACATCTTATATTCCCTGCGAAACCAAATAGCATTAATTAAAGCATTTTATTGGCAACTTACATTATAAAACAACCACAAAACATGGGCAATTATGGTGTACATAACAACTATATAGCCTATTATCAACACCCCACACTTAAATTATTGCTAGTCCTCGAGCAATTCACCACACTCCATAAAAATTCATTCCCTATGCTTTTCCCTCAACGACTCACGCCAAGAACATTTCACAGAGTTACACCTAGTAGTGAGCATCTTTTACCTCAAGAATCAAGTTTTTCGTACCCTGTAACATTTGCACTTACTCAAACCACTCTACACAATAGTCAAGATGCACCTTTCCTTTGTGAATCATATGCCCTCACATCACACAAAAGAGTAGTTCCATATATATAATTATAGTGATAACAATTAGGAACTCAAATAGACATAATTCGCTCACTCTCCAAAAAGAACATTCACATGCCACAAAGATGCACCATTGGCTTGCCCCTAGTGTAGTACTCAACAAATCGAGCCCCACTCAGTCTAAGATTAATAGGACTTTATTTGGTTGTAATGTAGGCTAAGAGACGGGTATGATACATTTGGATATAGTGACTAACCTCCCTAAGCACTTTTAATACAATTACGTTGAACTTAAAAAATCATCATTTTGTAAGCCAACACTCCACCACATTTATTTAAACATCCCCATACATTATGTGCAATTTGTACAAGCTACCACTTATTAATCACTACAAAATATATGAACTTTTTTTTTTCGTGGTGCTTTTCTTTTTACGCTCCACATTCTGCACCTTTTCTCTATTTCCATGGTTCCACTTCAAAAACCAAACTACCACCCCACACTTTTGTTTTTACATAATCTCAATACCAATCTAGTGCTTAGTGGAAGAAAATTAGTTCAAACAGCAGGCTATTCAAACAAGTGGTTAAGGTTCACATTGTGGTTGCCAAAGAAACAGGCTTATAGGCTCAACAGGGTTAACTAAGATGTAATGCATTCAGGTGGGTTCACTTTATATGTCTAACTCAACAAAGAAATATCTATATCACTTCTAAAACCGAATGAAGCTACTATTTCGCTTTGCAAACACACAGGGCAAGTTCTAGGCATCAAATGTACAACATGGAATACAATGATACTCACACCCACATGGCACATGACTCACTCCGGATTAGTTTATCAAAACATTCTCTTTTGAGTGTTCAAGTTAGATACAAACATACAATTTTTAAGGCACTTAAACAAGATTCAACCCTTGAAGCTAAGCGCTACACTCTAGCGTCTATCGTGTTCAGGTGTAAGAACGCTAAGGGTTTTTTTTCTTCAATTTTAAGCTCGTCGCCCATTAATCCTAACCTAAAACAAAAAATCTACCTATACCCGGTTCAAGTTAAAACCCTTGGAAAAGAACCGTGGCCCAAAGAAAACCAAGGGGGAGTTACTACACTACCTAAGACATAATTTTTTTTTCTCGACTTGGTCCCTCAAGAACCCCGCCGAAAGAGATCCATCGCCGGGACAAGTCGCTTCTATTTTAACTTCCTAAAAAAACTGTTACTCTATTTCTAAAGTCACTAACACAAAACAAAACCAAGAACAACAAGTAGATAATATTCACAAGTACAACATACAACGAAGTCCCCCACCCCACACTTAAAATTAAGACATGTCCCCATGGCTTGACAATATAAAAAGCAGTGAGGTAAAGAAACTTCCCTGAAGGGTCACTCTTGATCCGAAACTGTATCTGGGTTCACGTTGCAGGCGCGACCCAGTGCTCTCAACCAGCCGATGAACTTTTTTTCCAACTTCACCTGTTGGTCAGCCACAACATCCATGCGGGACCCCAAGTCAGTGATGGAGGTCCGCAGTCCAGTCATTTCCTGCTCCAGAGCATCCATCCGAGTGCTCCGGCGTGGCTGTGATGATCCTGCCTCGTCCCCTCTAGGAGGGGCTGTGATCTCAGTAGCTTCAGCAGCATCAGAATCATCCTCAGACTCAGACTCAACAGACGAGTCATCATTGCGTCGTGATGCTCAGACTCAGACTCAACAGACGAGTCATCATTGCGTCGTACTGGCTCTCTTCCCTCTTGCCCAATTTTTCTCGCCCGGAAAGGGGTTTTTATAGGTAATTTCCCATCAACTCGGGAGTTCTCAGGAACCATAGCAAGGCGGCATAGACGGGTGACAAGCGAAGGGAATAGTGGCCTTTGCTTAGTTCGGGCGATCGGATGAACATTTCTTCAGAGAGGACTCGGGCGACATCAAACCCTTGGTGAGTCATAAAGTAGTAGATCATAGTGGCCCATGGCCCATTTACATCGGTGGTATTGCTGGATGGTAGCAACCGAGTGGTGATGGCAGTGAGCCAACATTTGGCCTCCCAAGTAAGCGACTTAGAGTGTAGAGTCGTAGGTTGTGCTACCCATTTGGGCTGTCTGCCAGGTATACAAATGACCTCCAGAATTCTGTCCCAGTCAACCATCGGGCGGCTAGCCCTGATGTAATGATCATCACCCGTGAATGCGGGGAGGCGATACACTCTACGGATGACCTATATAGAAGCATTAACCGGGGTGTTGCGCAGAGTCACAACCTTGTCCTCGTGTTCTGGCAGGTTTGCATAGAACTCCCTCACTAGCTAAATATTGGCTTCCTCAGGAGCCTCAAAGAAGATGTGCAGTTGACACCTCCGTAGCTCATCAAACATATTGGGGCATTCCTTCACCAATGCCTTCCTGTCAATATGGACCTCATGGAGTAGCTTCTTGGCAAGTTTATGATTGTACCTCGCCTTTGCTTCTTCAGAGACAAACCGAGATCTATCAAACCGTGGTGTGCTGGATTGGGCCCTAGCTCGTGAGGAACCTCCTGGGCCACTCGCAGAGGACCCGGTGTTTCATCTCTTACGGGTTGAACTCATAATGCCTGTCAAAACAGAGAAACACGTATTAGGATGAGCATAAAATGGTGACTATGGGTGGTTACTCAGACTTCACCACTACCATGTCACAACATCTCCTTATATCTCCATTGAGGCAATTTCACAAACACATTGTGGGCAAGGCATTTTTTATTTCATATTCATGGCCCAAGGGAATCAAGAAGACTTCCCCAATTCACTACACCCACACATTCCATACTTCTTTCTTTTAACAACCATCACCCACCAACAACACCATTCCACATATTCAAAACACATCCCCTTCACCAAACATATGCTAAAAATGAAATTACACTAAAAAGAAGAAGAAAAACTAAACAAAACAAAATCCTATCACTAACACTACATTAGAACAACACTAACNATCGATTTTGTCCAGCTGCTTCGAGATCCATGTTCAATTGTTTCAGTGTCCACCAAGCTCGATGTTCTAGCTCCACAGGCAGGTGACAGGCCTTCCCAAATACCAACTTGTATGGTGACATACCTATTGGTATTTTGAACGCAGTTCTATAGGCCCAGAGTGCGTTATCAAGCTTTTTTGCCCAATCAGTTTGTGTGGCATTCACCGTCTTGGTTAGTACACTTTTTATCTCCCTGTTAGACACTTCAACCTGCCCACTGGTTTGCGGATGGTAAGGGGTAGCCACCTTGTGGCGTACATCATACTTTGCAAGCAATTTCTCGAAGGCTCTGTTACAGAAGTGAGTGCCTCCATCACTGATGATCGCTCTTGGTATCCCAAATCGGGTGAATATATTCTTTTTCACAAAACCTATCACCATTCTTGCATCATTAGTGGGCAATGCTGCAGCTTCCACCCATTTAGACACATAATCCACAACAACAAGTATGTATTTATTGCCAAATGAGCTGACGAAGGGGCCCATGAAGTCAATCCCCCAAACATCAAATACCTCTACCTCTTGAATCGGGTTCAAGGGCATCTCATGGCAACGGGAAATGTTCCCGGTTCGCTGACATTCATCGCATCACTTCACCCATAGGTGTGCATCTCTAAACACTGTTGGCTAAAAGAACCCGGCCTCTAGAACTTTCGCAGCTGTCTTGGCTCCTCCAAAATGTCCTCCATATGCTGATGCGTGACAAGCCTGCAAAACAGAAGATTGTTCTATCTCGGGGACACACCTCCGGATCATATTATCAATACAGATTCGAAACAAATAAGGCTCGTCCCAATAATACATGCGACAATCACGATAAAAAATTTTCTTTTGGACAGATGAAAGGTCATAGGGAATAATACCGCAGGCCAGGTAGTTTGCAAAATCTGCATACCATGGCGCATCCTCAAGACTGGCTGCGAGCAGCTGCTCGTCTGGAAAGGTTTCCAGGATCTCTTCGACCTCGACTGATTTTTCAGCTCCTTCAAGTCATGATAGATGATCAGCGACTTCATTTTTTGTGCCCTTACGGTCATGAATTTCGAGGTCGAATTCTTGCAACAGTAGCACCCAACGAATCAGGTGTGGCTTAGACTCCTTTTTCTCAATTAGGTACCTGAGAGCTGCATGGTCAGTATATACAATTACCTTGGAACCAATCAGATATGATCGGAACTTGTCAAAAGCAAACACCACTGCCAACATCTCCTTCTCCGTCACTATGTAATTGAGCTATGCATCGCTTAGCATTCTACTTGCGTAGTAAATCGGGTGCATAAACTTATCTTTTTACTGCCCCAAGAATGCTCATATAGCATAGTCGCTGGCATCACACATGAGCTCAAATGGTTGCTCCCAGTTGGGTGCAACAATGATGGGTGCCGTTATCAATCTCTTCTTCAGTTCCTCAAATGCCAACCTGCAATCATTAGAAAATACAAAGGGCTGATCCTTTTCAAGGAGTTTGCATAATGGGTTAGCAATTTTAGAAAAATCTTTTATGAAACGTCAGTAGAACCCGACGTGGCCAAGAAAACTTCTCACCGCCTTGACTGAAGTGGGCAGTGGTAGCTTCTCAATCACGTCAACCTTAGCATGGTCAACCTCAATTCCTTTACTGGACACTCGATGCCCCAGGACTATACCTCCTTGTACCATAAAATGGCACTTCTCCCAGTTTAGCACTAAGTTTGTCTCCACACATATTTTAAGCACTCTCCTTAAGTTGTGAAGACAGTCTTCGAATGAATCTCCTACCACGGAGAAATCATCCATAAAGACCTCCATAATATCCTCCACCATGTCTGTGAAGATGGCTAACATGCACCGTTGAAAAGTCGCGGGTGCATTGCAAAGCCCAAAAGGCATTCTCCAAAAGGCAAAGATGCCATATGGATAGGTGAATGATGTTTTCTCTCTATTTTCGGGGGCTATTGATATCTGATTGTACCCCGAATATCCATCCAAGAACAAAAGTGCGATCACCCAACTAGCCTGTCCAACATTTGGTCAATGAAAGGTAAGGGGAAATGGTCCTTCCGGGTGGCTGTGTTCAATTTCCTGTAATCCATGCATATACGCCACCCTGTGACTGTACGAGTTGAGATCAACTCATTGTTCTCATTTTTTACAACAGTCATTCCCCCTTTTTCGGTACACATTGGACAGGGCTGACCCAATTACTTTCAGAGATGGGGAAGATGATTCCCACATCTAACCATTTGATTACTTATTTCTTTACAACCTCTTTCATGTTTGGGTTCAGCCTTCGCTGGTGTTCCCTGGAAGGTATGTGCCCCTCTTCCAGGAGAATCTTATGCATATAGAAGGCTGGGCTGATACCCTTTATGTCTGCCATGGTCCAGCCAATGACAATCTTGTTTTCCTGCAGTACCTGTACGAGCCGTTCTACCTGCACATCTAGCAAACCGGATGATATGTTAATAGGCAAGGTCGAATCAGAGCCTAAGAACACATACCTGATGTGATCTGGGAGTGGCTTCAGTTCCAACTTGGGTGGTTCCTCTATTGATGGCTTTGCTAGAGGAGTGGCCCTTTTTTCTAGCTCAAGGGACTCGAATTGATGTTCCCTTGACCAAAATCCTCGGCCTTCCAGTGCCATGACCCATTCAGCTAACCATTCACCATTCATTTCTTCTAAATTTGTCAGACATGCCTCCAATGGATCTTTTACAGTTAGGGTCATATCATCTTCTTGTAGGATTACATCCACTGCTTCCACTAGAGAGCAATTAGCATATTCACTGGGTCTCCTCATAGATTGTTGAACATTGAATATGACTTCTTCATCGTTCAATCTCATTTTTAATTCCCCAGTTTCACAGTCGATCAGTGCTCTCCTAGTGGCTAAAAATGGTCTCCCTAAAATAAGGGGTATCTCCTCATCCACCTGACAATCCAAGATAACAAAGTCTTCAGGGAACACGAACTTCCCCACTTGCACCAACACATCATCAAGAATACCATTGGGCCTCTTCACTATGCGGTCAGCCAGCTGTAGCAGCATCGAAGTTGGCCTAGCTCTACCAATGCCCAGTTTGGTGTACACAGCCAGTGGCATCAGATTTATGCTGGCTCCCAAATCACACAACGCCTTTGCAAAGGCATAACTTCCAATTGTGCATGGAATAGTGAAGCTACCTAGGTTCGACATCTTTTGAGCCATTGGTTTTTCCACCACTGCGCTGCAGGTCTGTGTCAGAGTTACAGTGGATAGATCCTGAAAATCAAACTTTCATGACATTAGATCTTTCATCATCTTAGCATAACCGGGCATCTCCCTCAAGGCATCCATCAAAGGAATATTCAACTGAATTTGACGCAGCATCTCCATGAACTTCTTATATTGGTCTGCCTTCTTTTGTTTGACCAACCTCTGAGGGAAGGGTGCAGGTATCACCCTTTGTGCATTGCTTGCTGGCTTCTCTCTGTTAGAATTTTCTGGCACAAGAGGTGCCACCAATTCTGCAACTTGCTCATTCATCTTTTCTTTGCCTTTTTCCTCCTGACTCTGCTCAACCACCACTTCAGTAAGTTCTGTTGGTTCCTCTACCTCTAATTGAACTGGAGTGGCTGGTGTAGTGTCCTTGCTGGCTTGTGCAATTTCCTGCTCTCTGTCTAAATCTCTCCCATTCCGGAGACTTACTGCCATCAGCTGATTCGGGTTTTGGTCCTTGGGGTTTATGTTTGTGTCTGCAGGCAAAGTTCCCTGAGGACGGTTGTTCAAAGCCATGGACAGCTGACCCAACTGCGTTTCAATATTCTTTATGGCTGAATCATGCACTGCTAATTTTTCCTGTACTTTATTATTTGTCCCAATGAGTTGCTGAAGCATACCCCTGATTTCCACCATGTTGTTATCTTGCTGCTGAGGGGGTGGTTGGTACGTCAATTGTTGCTGATTTTGCTGTGGATAGCCCTGTGGTTTTTGATATGGTACTGGCACCAATTGGTTTTGAGGGTGCATACCCCCAGGTTGCTGCATATTAGGCCTGTACTGCTGATTTTACTGCGGTCTCCACTGCTGTGCTCCTTGCCTCTGACCCCCATAGTTGGTGACATAATTCATATCTTCCCTTGTCCCTTGATTTTCACCTTCTCCGCTCCATGAACACACATAAGACTGATTAATACAAGGTGTACACAGTACCCCATTTGTTGTATCAACAATGTGCACCTGTTTTGTACCCATCTCATCAATCTTCTTTGTCAATATGCTCATCTAGGTCATGAGTGTGGCCATGTTCTCTGCATGCAAATTATTTGGGTCAAGAGGAACTGAATGCACTATGGGTGCCAGTGTTGTACCTCTGGTCATCCACCCCGAATTTTGTGACATCTTATCAAGAAGGATTTTGCACTCAGTGCATGTTTTACTTAAAATTCACCTCCAGCTGAAGCATCCACATTTGCTTTCAAATTGTCAGCTAGCCCCAGGTAGAATCTCTGGCCGAGCATCTGGTCTGGAATGCCATGGTGAGGGCACTTCACTAACATCCCTTTAAATCTTTCCCAAGTTTCTTGCAAGGACTCAGTAGGCTGTTGCCTATACTGCAATATGTCATCAATCTGTTTTGCAGTCTTGTTAGGCGGATAGAACTTGTTCAGGAACTGCTTGACTAATTCCTCCCAGGTGGTAATAGAGTTGATAGGGAGTGAATTTAGCCAAGTCTGAGCTTCCCCGGTTACCGAGAATGAAAACAGTAGCAGCTTGATAGCTTCCGGAGTCGCATTTGGCTGCCTTTGGGTCATACAAATTGACAAAAAATTTTTTAAGTGTTGTTATGGGTCTTCAATGTGTGAACCGGAGAACAGTCCCTTATTTTGCAGCAGATGCAACATGTTGTTGGTGATCTGGAATGTCTCCGCTTGAATTGCGGGCACAGCTATGGTAGTGGCCAGATTATCAGCTGTGGGCTGTGACCAGTCATAAAGTGCAGCTTCGGGCATAAGAGGTGCCACCCCTCTGACATTTAAGTCAGCTGGCTCATTCCTGACGTTTCCGTTAACGTTATCTACGTCACCCATGTCAAATTCGAGTTGGTGTGATTGTTGAGATTGTTGAAGTCTTTTGTTGGCACGGTTCAATGCCCTGAATGTTTTCTCAGGGTCTGAGAGTCCTTCTAGCAGTTCTCCAGTCTCGAAGAACTTCTAGGCATACACCTGGTTTCCACAAGAGTTAAAACGTTAAAATTTTAATGAAAAGATTGGGTATAGAGAAAACTGACTACACTTAGAATTTTATTTTGTACTTCTCTCAATTGTAATTGATAACACCGTTAATTCCCCGGTAACGGTGCCAAAATTTGACAACGCCAAACTATGCCTTATATAAGGACACACACGGACGTAGCAAATATAATCTAAGTAATTTTTGCCCAGAGTCGAACCACAGAGAATTAACCTATCAATTACTTTTGTCGGATTTACTAAATTCACATAATCAATTCCCCCAAACTTTATAATTCACGATTGATGATATTTCTAACAACTAAAAATTGAAAATAATTAACAGCTGAAAATTAACTATGCTTGATGTGTAAACAGTTAGAATATGGTCTAAGGTAATGGTTTCCCCCGTTGGTGATTTCCTTGGTTGTATGTTCTTATAGCCATGCCTTAGTTGGCTCTATCAATCAAGAACTCTTGAGTTATCATAAATCTCTCTCGAGTAATTATGATCATTTACTAGACACACTCTCTCAAGTTACGCTAGCTAGATTCACATTAACATTCTTTTATATTGCACCCGAGGTATCGTTATCTGTAATCCAACCTCTAAACCCTCGGTTATGACTCTCGTCTATACTCCGGGAGTGATATTGTTCAAAAAACTACCTAAATATGCACTCTCTCTCAAGAAGATACATAATAAATAGGAACGGATAATTGATGGCCCTTTCAACTAACCACAATCAAAACGTAGATGAACAAATAGAGATTAACAACCAATTCAAACTATATTACTATCACAACCAAGTCATCCCCAACGGGTTTCACCAAAACCTTAGATTAAAGTATTTAGCTACTCATGACAACGTAAGAATAAACTATGAAAATATTCATAATGGAAAATTGCAAGAAAGATAGAAGAGAATAAGAACTATGATGTTTTTGGGTGATCTCTCACACTTCTTCTTCTTGCAAAGGTACTCTCACAAAAATAATAATCCCCCTTTCTTGGGCGAGTTTCCTACATCTTATAAGGGTTTTATAAAATCTTTCCCGAATTGACACTTTGGCCCCTTAAATTTCTGGACTGTGAACATGCTACCACGGCCGCGGCACGACCGCGGCGCTGACCGCGGAGGACACTGACTCCAATCGCGGCGGCAACTGCGGTGAGTATGCTGGGCCTTTTGTTCTCCGCGTTACTTCTCTTTTTGCTCTTTTTGTGTTTGGGTACTTCTTGAGTGGGTGTTTTCTTCACGTTATTGCCTCTAAACACTTCATGTTGCTTCCTCACATCTTATATTCCCTGCGAAACCAAATAGCATTAATTAAAGCATTTTATTGGCAACTTACATTATAAAACAACCACAAAGCATGGGCAATTATGGTGTACATAACAACTATATAGCCTATTATCAGTAACCTTAATGAAGTTCTGAACCCTCTTCCAGATTGCCTCACCTAATAATATTGGAGATGAAAAATTATATTCTAACTTTATTCTTTCTGAATGCATTCTTCATGTAACAGAAGTCATGATCCTCTAGCAAGAACCGGCGGTGACAATTAAACCATTATTGCTTGCGACCATATTTTAAAGTGAACGCTTTACTATTTTTCATACAGTAAGGGCAGACTAACTTTCCAACCGTCATCCACCCAGACAATATTTCATATATAGAAAAATCATTAATAGTCCATACTAAAGAAGTACACAAGTTAAAATTTTGCTTAGTTGATATGTCATATATTTCTACACCATCATACCACAACTATTTTAGATCATCGATCAAAGATTGAAATATACATCAACCAAAATTTTAGATTATGGAGACCGGGTATAATACAATTTAAAAATATATATGGACTTGCCATACACATCTTAGGGGGAAGATTACGAAGTGTAAGGTGTCGCAAAGACAGGAAACAATGCGAATCCATCGGTACACAAACCTAACCGAATGTTCCTTGATTCACTAGCAAAATCCCAATACGTCCTATCAAAATGCTTCTTCTAACTAAATATCTACTCAAAAAATTTACAACTTTCTAACTCTACATCATCTTTATAGTATAATATGCAACCATCTTCACAACATTCAATTCTCAGGCGATAGTCCTAACTTAGAAATCAATTGTTTTTCCTTGTAGAGACCAACATGTAAGTTAATATTTGGTTCAACTAGTTCACTTATAAGGCCAATAAAAGAGTTCATGTGCCGCTTGAGAAATATTCTAGTGATTTTATACTTAGTAATCTAACTGCAACAGAAAACTCAAAGTGCGTACTCTCTACACTTAGTAGGCGACTAGCAACCTCTAATTGTTTATAAAAACGCTTTGCTTCTTCATTTGAATCTTGTTCAACACTTTCATCGGGTTCAAACAAGGATTCCATCACAAAAGCATACACAACCATATCATGAAATCTAGAATCTTGAACAGTATTCACCAACAACAATATTTTGAAATATTCTATTACTTCCATCGATCAATATAACCGCTAAAGAGTAGCAAGTTCGAGTAAACTCTTATTGCATATCATTTTCTTCCACTTATAGAATTTTACGTTCTCGTATGACGCACATGCATGTCTTATTCTCACTTGGTCAGTAGTCTGTTTGAGAACTTGAGTGGATCTTGTCAAAACAATTCTACTCGAACATAGGATAACATATCCAATCACTTTATTTTGATTTAGACTATGACTCATTCTTGAGTTTAAGTGACTAGATGATTCGGATTATTGAGTTCATTAGTAAATCTTGAGATCAAATGTCTACGCGATTGAGTGTCTGTCTCTAAGACGCCTAAACACTAACAAATTATTTGCATTATTTAAAGATGAAGGTTTTTAAGTACTTTTAAAATTAGTATTACAAAATAAGA